AATGATTTAAAACACATTCCAACCTGTTGATATAGTGTCTGCTTACATGACCCTGACTTCTTCCCAGTTCAAAGTCAAAGGATTACAGAGCATCCCAAAATTTAAACTCAGGAAGCCTCCCCCTTCCCTGTCAGCCTCATTAACTACAGATGATGTAGCCTTTAAAAGCCATCACATAAAAAACCCAAACCTGTGCCTGGAACCTAAACATACCACAGAGAATTCTGCAAGTTAAGCTCAAGAAACATCTAACTGAAGAGAGAAAAATTACCACATTTATTCTGTAATTAAGAAACTGCTTTATGCTATTTTGTAACGATGTTTTAATAGAAGCTTTAATTTCTTTTCCTGTGGAATACTCTAGGTTTGTGGATGCTTCCTGGATGCCAAGACTTGGCATTATAATGCCTTATAATTAGCAAGGTTATTAACAGTAATTGCCTTTTGATATTTGGTATCACTATAGCGTGTGAAATATTGTTAGACAGTAAAACATTTTCACCTGACCTTTATGCCACATAATTGCATATGTCCCGTTCCTGGGAGTGTTCAAGGCCAAGCTGGACAGGGCTTTGAGCAACCTGGTCTAGTGATTCGGCAACCTGGCCCATGGCAGAGGGGCTGGAACTGTATGATTTTAAAGTGTATGATTTTCCCTTCCACCTCAAACAATTCCATGATTCTGTGATGGTGAGGACTAAAAATCTTAAGAACACCATCCATATTCTTACAGCAGGATTGCTTATCTAGGAGATTAAATTTTTGTTTAGTCTACATCACTATAAAAAACACTAAGTTTTCCAATTCATATTCAACATCATGAACAGGGACATTCTCTACTATTTGAAACACTCCTACCATAAACACTACACTATCTTGCTCAGATAATTCAACCAAACTCTACGTGTACCAAAATCCAGCTATGTAAACTTTCACATTGTTACTATGAAAGCTTAAAGCTTTTTCTGTTAAGCCATACAGTGTATTGAAACCAGTTTTTCCCTCTAACCCAAAAGATGAATCACAGGCTTAATAATAAAGCCTTATTATAGCAATTTTGCTAGCCTCAAAGTTTCCTCTGCTAGTACATGCAATAGGGTAAAATGAACTGTAATCAACTGACAATGGTAGAAAATTATCATTTGTATCAGATCACAATTTAAATTGAGATATTAAAATCTCTGCTCATGCACATTGTAATTTAGGGCCTGATCCCACACACATTTACATATGGAACAGCATTGCAGTGAGTAGTCTTAGTTTTTCCAGAAAAGTTATTCATGTATGTAGATGCTTTCAAGAAAAACTTTTACTTTTTCATAAGCCACTAATTAATTCTTGTTAATGACAATGTTTATTTGAGACAAACCCAATGTCTCCAGCTCAACCTCCTCATCTAACCTTCCCTCTCTCATCCTGCTGCTTCCATTTCCTCGTAAAGATTAACAATTTGGTATGGTAAGAGTAGTATACTCCTGCTAAAACAGACCTTAAATTAAACTTATTTATTACACCTGGGGGTAATGCAGAATCCTGTTAAATCTGCATTTGTAACACAAACCAGTGTAACTCCCTAGCAAGGGACTTTCTTATGAAACAGCCAAAGACAACTGCTCTGAATGGCATTCCTAGAGCTGCACTGCTAAATGTTCTTATCCATCCTCTGTCCATCATTCCCCGTTAACTCCAGCTCCGAGTCAGCTGCTGCCTGCCTGAAATTCTTTGCCTATCGGGAGGATGGCAGAGCTCACCTTCCTGGGGACTGCCACACCATTTTCAGCTTTTTGTTTACCTATCAGCTCTTCACAGGAGCCACAAATAGAACTGGCTAGCCCTGCCAGGCAGATAGGACACAGCAGCTGGAGACACATGGCTGTCCAAAGCAGAGTCCCAGCGAGCTCCAGCTTATCATGGGGGCATGGGAACACATCAGTCAGTGGAGGTTTTACTTGTCATCCTTGGCAGGAAGCAGTTCCTCTGTTCTTAGAAAGATTCCAGAGATGGACAGAGCACCAAACTCCTGGGGAGGACGACTGTCTGATCGCATTACATGACACATGAGCATGTCCTGAGCTGCCTGATGCACATGGAGACGTAAGGCACCGTGCTCCTGCAGTGCCACAGCCACCACTGACATGCATCCCAAGCAGTCATGGAGTGCCTAAGAGCCTCTGACACCACCCAGGGAAGCAGGACTAGAAGCATATCAAATACACTTAACAATACAATGTAAACATAAAGTTGAGAGCGTGGATGGCAATAATAAAAAGAAATGTCATACGGAGCAAAGAACAGGATCACACAGAAACTCTGTGACTATAGAACTTGTGTGACAGCCTTATCAGGAAATGGATTATTTTCACATCTTCTAAGTCTATGGGCAAAAGTTTAAACACTTTCAGCAGGTATGAAAACAGACAAGTGTGAGCTTGTTCAAGCTTTCACACTGTAGATGTGAGCTGCAGTCTTGAGAGCAAAGTTTAGTACACAAAAAAGAAGATAACCAAGCCACCTGTAGATGCAGCTGATATGTTCTGGTCCCAGTATCTGTTGGTTTTGCTGCCTAACAACATACTTTATAAACAGAGGAGGGTCTAACTCCACCTCCTGTAGAGTTGCAGTCATGTCAAATTAAAAACCCATCAGACTAAGAGGGGGAAAACCACTTACTTGAACAGCTGTGTCCCACTTGTATAAACCATATGGTCAGACAACATGCAGCATGAGTAAATAACTTCACAGCTTAAACAAAAAGTGCACTCACTTAAATAACAGAGGCTAACAATAAACAAGATCTGCAGTTCAGGTAAAAGAATCAAAACAGGACTTGAAGCAACCTCCCATACACACCCCTTTCCTTTCTCTCTGTGAAGACAAATGAACTCTAAAAAGATAACACTCACTTGCTGGCAAACCCAACTAATAAGGCACAGACTGAATGAGCAGCATGAGAAAAGTCTCTAACATTGAGCTCTGGCCCTCTCAGTTCAAACTGGATTTACTTTCCTCCATTTCCTTAACAAGCTAATGGTACAAATCATAGTTTCATTTCCCCCAGAGAGTTATTTCTATAGCCCTCCCTTCTCTAGTGATCTTCATGCAAGCACTCATAAGGTCAATAATATTATAGAATCTTTAGCTGTCATCAGCTTGGAAATATCTCCCAAAACAGAAGCCACAATAAGTTTAGACATTCCTCTAGGGAAGAAAAAACAAAAACACAAAAAGCATTCTAGTAAATCCAGTCTTGCAACAGAATAGTCAAAGAACAAAAGCAGCTTATGAGTAAGTAACTAAAACACAAGCGAAAGAAGAAACCAGACTTCAACCCTCCTAAAAAAAGCAAGATTAATGCGGTGAATTCATCAGGACAACAATTCCAAAGCCCTGCTCCATCTGCCTCCTCCTTTTATCAGGTGGTCCTAAGGACCTGGCCTGAATTACTGTTCTCCTTCATGACTCAAAGGGTCTCAGGTGGCCTGATGCTGAAAATATCCTAATCCAGTGTCTTCTGTAAATTGAGACCACTACTCACTATGGACAGGAACAAGAAAATAAACAAATAGTTGCTGGTTTTGAGCTGCTTGGGGATTATATGGCATCAAGTACTGCTTTGAAATACAGCAGCTGTAATAGAGAAAGAGATATGCACTTCCCCAAGAATTCCAGAAACAGGTCAGACAGTGCTCCACTCTGCCCACTGGGATGGGCTGATGCCACTCCAGATTGGCACAGATGAAATATGTTAATATTAGGACAAAGGGAAGCATTTTTTTAGTTATCTAGCTGTATTTAACTAAAAACCACAGGTAACAAACAGAATTTCTTAGATTCTAGAACTGATTTTTCAGCATACAAATAACTCAAGTGACCTTTACAAATAAGCCTTTAGTAACATAGGAAAACAACTATTTCTATTTTCTGCTATATTCCATATATTCAGGAAGAGGAAGAACAGAGCAACCACACAACTATTCCACCCACATTTGGAACGTGAGAAATATAACTGAAACTCAGGAACTGTGCTGGAGACACTTTGAAGTCTGAATCTGCAGTGTACATGCTAGATATGGATTCTCAGAAGAGATAACTTAGGTTTAATAGAAGTGAAAAACTATGTGGTATTGATTCCATTTCTGTGCTCTAGTTGCCCAGTTACTCTGATTTATTCCAGCACCCCTCTCCATGTTTGCCACCAGCTCTGCCACATTCACCTGAAGCCTGAATTCCTTTCTGTGCCATATCAACCCTGTGCTAAGCAGGGACTGACTGTGGCAGTGGCTGCACACAGACCTGGGCATTTCTCTTTATTCTCACCTTTCATCCTACTTTTGTGGTTACTCAGTTCAACCAACTCTGCACTGTTGTTCATTAAACAGAAACTCTGTGAAGGAGCCAGGATTGCCTCCTGCTCCACGACATTCATCTTCAAAGGCAATGAATTCACAAAGCATAGTTTTACAATTATTTAACGCTTCATTAAACCTCTGTTTTGTAAAAAAACACAGTGAGTCTTTGTTGTGGTCACAGAGGGCTCAGTGGCATGAGCTGGAGTTGCCAAGAGCCCCTCAGGTCCTCTCTCTGTGGAATGGGCAGCACTATCCCCATTCCCAAGGCAGCTCCATTGCACAAAGCCTTAGAACACCTTTGCAGAACCTTTTTGGTGAGTTTTTTGAAAGCAGGTACATTCAGCAGTCAATTGAGTACAAAAACCCTTAATTTTCATAACTATGCCTAATGAAAGACAGTGGTTGCTATCAAGAGTTTAAAAACATTTTCCAGATCCTTGAAAAAGTACTTTGACCAAAAAGTACAAAAAAAGATAGAATTTTCTAAAGTATCACCACCTTTCTTTACCCTTTCCACCCTCAAATCCTTCAGGTACTGAGCAAACAGAGTGTTTGTAACAGGTTGATGGCAGGAAGAACAACCTTCCATCAGTAGTTCAGGGCACATTTGCACAAATGGAGTAATTTCTAACATGAATATCAAGGTTTTACCTTTGCAGGTGAAACATTTGATGTGGAAGTGTCTGGCTTGAACACGGAGCACTTCACCTTTACAAGGCTCCCCACATTTGTGGCAGTGGATGACTGGCTTTTCAGAGGGGTGGTGGGGCTCCTGAGGATGGGCCACTGTAAGGCAAACAAACAAAAAAAATTTCAACCCAAACAAAAAGAATATTTTCTTCACCATGATATCTTCTTCTCATCATGATACAGGTGTATCTAGTCACATTTTATGCTCAGCTAAAAAGTTACCACCGTTTTATTTAAATATAGTCTTTTCATAAACCAGTAGTTTAAGACATTCACGCCAACTACTACTTCTTTCCATTGAGGCTGCTACAGAAAAACGAGGAAAAATTCCCTCCCCAGTGTCAGTGCTGAAAAGTGTTTCATGAAAGTAATTCCAAATCAAGTTCTGGGAAACCAGATGAACCAGATAGTCTGTATGCAAATGACTATACTAAAAATAAACTACAAACATGTCTTTTTCTACAGCAGATACCTAATGCAGGGAAAGCACTCCTGAAGAGGAAAGAAGCCAGTATTATTTCTCTCTACTGCCATCAATTCTAGCAGAAATTACCCTGAATGCAAATTAGAGATACTGTGAGTAGGCAGAAACTACCCACATATTTGCAATATTGTCAGGGAGACACAATTCCAGGTAGTGGTAATCAGCCACCCAACCACCCATAGCAGAGCTTGGATAGGAACAGGAAAAGTTAGTGGATTTCATGGTCATAATAAAAGTTTAATTGCTCCACATTTGGCTTCTGTAAAACATGTTTAACTTTCTCTTCAGATGTGGCAGCTTGGGGCCCTAACAGAAGTGCACGGGAGTAAGCTGGAGAAAGATTTAATCTCAACTGAACTGTTTGAAGTGGAAAGTATTACCCAGAATGTTCCCAAACAAACCTATGTTCCTTCAATTCTCCCTCCCACATCCCATTCTAGCAGCAGAAAGCTTTCCTCTTTGTAATATTGTTCTCAAACTAGTGGTGCTCATCAGAACATTTCAGAGAAAACATACCTCTACCCACGCCTCTGTCTTTATGCCATTCCTGTCCTACTTTTCCTGGCCTGCAAAGGACTGAGTGCTGATACATCACTCTCACTGTCACTGGGAAACATCTTCATTATTTTATCTCAGTTTTCTCGAGATCTTTTCCTTTCCTGATCAGTTCCTGGCATCACCCCAGCAAGGACTATGTTGTTTTTCAGGTTACTGCTTATGCAGCAATATAACTGATACCTTGCTTATATATTTACTGCACCAGATTCCTCCCCTTCTTCAATGGATTTCTAGGGGAAAAGGCCCACAGCTCCGTCCAGTTTTCTCCATTATAAATGCCTTACTGAAGAAATGTTTCTATCATTTTGCATTACATAAATGCAAGATTAATAATAAAAAAGCTGAATATGTGATTAGGGGAGTAACAACATCAAGAATAGAGAATAACAAATAATCTAAGCAATTTCTATTATACACATCCAGCCAAACTAATATTGCAATTGGTATTCTCTTTCTGTCACCACTCACATCTCCCACCCCAAATTTCAAATGGCTGAATTCCTCTACTCAAGCTTGAAGTTTTTAATACCTCCTCTTCTGGTAGCCTCACCTAAATTATTTCCCCTGAACAGCCCATCCTGGTGAACAGAATTCAGCTGCTAATGCCAACCAGTATTTCAATTAGCAGCTCCAGTGAAGTAAAAGCTCACTGAATGCCTTACCTTGAGTGAACCTCATCTGACAGTCTACAATGCAATACTCTTTCTTTCTTATTCTTACAAACAAAACTATTCACTGGCAACCAAGGAAATATACAGGAAAGAAGAAAAGAAAGAAGGAAAGAAAGAAGGAAAGGAAGAAAGGATAAAAGACAAACACAGAGAAGACAGCTAACAAATTAAATTATTAGGAGCAAAATTCCCTCTCAGATCCAGGCAGCCTGAGATGGGTCTGATGCAACCTGAAGTTACAGTGTGGACTTTTAAACTTGCTCACAAGAGGAAATAGATAAAGAATTTGGAAAATGCTCCCTAAGATTTATATGGTGCAATGTGAAATCTGTACCTAAAACATTCTGCTTATTCCACCTCACATGTGTAGGACACCCTGACATTCCGCACACCAGGTTCCAGATCTTCTGGTATTGATCTGAAACACAAGCCTCTGCTCTTTACAGGAAAGTAAATAACTGTTTTCAAGGCTGGTCCAATGATGCAGCTTCTTTCCAGTTCTGCCTTTAAAGCCATTTAAATGAATACAAATACTGTTAGTTGCTATTTACAGGCTGATCTCTTAAGTGAAGCTAATTATGGTGCTTGTCTTACTGGCCTCCATTTGGCATTGTAGGTCAAAATCGAGTAATTGACTTTCAGGATGTATGCAATACCCACAAGGCTTTTCAGTGGCAGAGATGACCTTTCAAAGTTACCAGTGAGGACAGAACAAGGAATTAAAGAAAGAGAAATACCTTTACAAGCATCTTATTGAAATGTTTCTGACTGAAGTCCAGCCAGCTCACTGGACATGTCAGTTTTAAGCTGCTCTGGGTCTGGAAATATCTGAGTCAGGAGACGGGTTCATCTCCTTGCAGGGATTTCACACCTAGAGAGAATCCATATTTCAGAATCTGCCTGCACCAAGCCTCCCCACAGCAACTACAGGATATCTTCTCAGGCACCACGGACTGCACACGATGCAATAAGGCAACTCTAGACCATGTCTAAGACAATTACAACAGACTCCAGACAGCCTAATCAGTGACAGGACATAAATTTAGAATCTGGATAACCCAGATCCCAACCCCTGCTCCACAACAGATCTCTGGGCTCTTTGGATGATATCCCCTAACCCTAAAGGAATAAAGCCATACAGTTAAGTTCAGCTAAATCACTGAGCCTGGGACCTACCAGCTTCAAATTGAGTTATCTGAATGTTTTCATTTCTCTGTGTCTTCAGAGTCTGGGACTGTAAACCAGGTGCAAAAGCACTATTAAGCTCAGCCTGGTGTGAGAATAAATACCATGACAAGGTTCCCAGGGACAGGGAAGGAAAGAGTCACATGGGCACCCAGGACAGTCAGTCACGTTCTTGGTTCAGTACCAGGGCTCACAATTGTCCTCACACCAAGAAGTGCTGCCCACAGCACGGGTGTGTGGCTGCAGGACACGGAATGATTCACACAGACACCTTCAATGTGTGATAAGGAAAAGGATGATTTTATTTTTGTGACTCCAGTATTTATAGATTCTTGACAGTGACCAGGGATTGGATAGTTAGGTCATCACCTTCCCAATCACACTGGTCGTGCGAAATGTCCATCAAAAGATGTTTCTTGGAAAGAATGTATACACATCTATGTTTATAGTTACTTTCCTGGGAAAGTGGCTAGAAACTATAAAAACAAGATCAGAAGGCTCAATTTTCAGGATGACACAGGTGTGTAACAAACACAGTAAAGTGTTTGCCAGTTCCAGTATAAGGATGGGAACTGATGCCTGTCACGTCCCAGTTTAGCCCAACCAGCATGACAAAGAGCATGGGTGCTTTCCTGTAAGACTGCTGGGCACTGCCTGAAGACATTTTCTTTCTTTAATTAATTAATAAAATCTCTGGTCAGAGATATACAAAGAAGAGCTTTACAAGACAAGCTAGGCTGAGACTTCCACTCCTGCTTTCAAGACCAGCTTAAATGAATAATCAATGAATAATTAATGCTTTCTTAAACTCATTTAGGTTTCAAATAAGATAAATCAATGTCCCATTAAATATCCAATTTACCCAGAGTAACACATACACTGAGGATGTGTATCTGACTGGGACTACTGGGAAGTCTGGATTGCATAATTTAAGTCAGGGACAAATAAAAAGAATAGGAAAAACTCAATAACACCTTCATCTGTTAGAAAAACAGTCTTTGTCACTGGAGTGTTGCTTTGTGCTAACATCACTCTGCAGACATCTCACCATTATTTTTGTCATTCCTTATGTTTCCTTGTTAATCAAGCAATGTTGATTTCATTATTTTTTGCAGCTGCACTATATGGATGTAAATTCAAAGCAAATCTAACAGCTTGAGAGTACTTGTTACTGCATTTTATCTAAGCATCTCAAAATAATCCCAGACCTGCAAAGAAATAATTAAAAACAAAAGAAGATAGTAAAGATTACAACACAATGTTCATATGAGAAACCAAAGGCATTTTCTGAGCAAAATTAAAGACTTAATTCACTGTGCAAAGTTGAAAACTGTTCTGTCAGGGTGTTTTCTGTAGAGCTGATCATTGTCTGAGGGTTTAGAAACAATTATTTTCTGTTGCATCAGCTAGAAATTAGACCTCAGTATTTGTAACAAACCTTTCTGAAATGGAAATTACATCAATTATCTGAAGAGTATGCAGCTGAATAAAGAAATAAGGAAAACAATGAAAATAAATACTGCAGCCCTCTTTATTGATGATTCTCTCCCTGAACATAGAACTGTTATGAAATCAAAGGCTCAAGCTAAGGGATTCTTAGCTGCAGATTCTTGCTGGCAAGACTCCATGTATCTCCTGCAAGCCAGGAAATACCTTGGCTTTTAACTGGAATCAGAAAAGCTTCTGGGAAACACCTTGCTATGGGAATGCTGCAAGGTGGAGCCACAACAAAATATTTTTAGTTCAGTTCTACTCTAAACTGCAATAAAAAAGAGCTTTCTCTAAATTTAAAGAAGATGATATGTGATACTGCTCTTTTAAATGTGAATTTTTATCATATTTGCCTGGATACCTCCACAAATAAACCTGAAGCTATGCTCAGTCAACTCTACCCATGTTGTAGGATATGTAACTTCAAGCTTTTTGCCAGGATACAGAATCTCTGAGATTTACTGTAGCTCCACAACCTCTGGGCTCTGTTGCACAGCACTGAGAACAGGCTGTGCACACTGCAGCGTGGGCAAGAGGATTCTCAGAATGTCACAGCTTTGCCCTTTATATCTTCAGAGTGGCCTGACACAGACAGCACGCTCTCTGAAATGCTGATTTTCAGTTCCTGTGTTTCCTTGGTTGAAGACTGGACTATTAAGGAGGAAAAATAAAGCCCAGATGAAATGGTGTGAAAGTACTCCAAGTTT